GCATCATAGCTCGCAGCAACCTCAAACTCTTGAGCTCAAGCAATTCTCTTTGCCTCAGCCTCCCAAGTAGCTGGGACTACAGGTGCCTGCCACAACACCTAGGTATTTTTGGAAACAAGGACTCTCACTTTTGCTCAGGCTAGTCTTGAACCTGTGAGCTCAGAGCAATCCACCTGCCTCTGCCTCCCAGAGTGCTAAGATTACATCCAAAATGTGTTTGTTTTTGTTTTTTCTGTAGAGACAGAGTCTCATTTTTGTCACCCTTGGTAGAATGCCGTGGCGTCACACAGCTCTCAGCAACCTCCAACTCCTGGGCTTAAGTGATTCTCTTGCCTCAGCCTCCCGAGTAGCTGAGACTACAGGCACCTGCCACACACCCGGCTATTCTTTGGTTGCAGTTTGGCTGGGGTCGGCTTTGAACCTGCCACCCTTGGTATATGGGGCTGGCATCCTACTCACTGAGCCACAGGCACTGCCCACATCCAAAATTTTTTTAATAGCTGTTCTACTAAGTCAGCTTTGCTATGATTAAAAAAAGTGACCCAGGTTCGGCACCTGTGGCTCAAGCGGCTAAGGCGTCAGCCACATACACCTGAGCTGGCGGGTTCAAATCCAGCCCAGGCCCACCAAACAATGACGGCTACAACCAAAAAACAGCCAGGCATTGTGGCGGGCACCTGTAGTCCCAGCTACTTGGGAGGCGGAAGCAGGAGAATCACTTGAGCCCAGGAGCTGGAGGTTGCTGTGAGCTGTAACGCCATGACACTTTACCCAGGGCAACAGCCTGAGGCTCTGTCACCAAAAAAAAAAAAAAAGTGACCCAAAAATATCAGTGGCTTGTAAAACAAAGGTTTATTTCTCATATTGCTAGTGGGTTGTGGGTCAGGAGGAACTCTGTTGCAGGCTGCCACTCAATTCTAGACTTTAGGGTAGCTCTGGCTAACGTTTCTGTCAATGATTGACCACACAGACAGTGGTAGTCCTACAAGATTGTAATACCATATTTTTATTGTACCTTTACAATATTTAGTTATGTTTAGACAATTGCCTATAGTATTCAGTAGAGTAACATGCTGTACAAGTCTGTAGGCTAAGAACAATAGGCTATATACCATATAGCCTACCTGTACAGTATGCCATACCATCAAGGTTTATATGAGTTCACTCTATGATGTTCTCATAATGACAAAAGCACCTAAGGATACATTTCTTAGAATATGTCCTGTTGTTAAGCAATCCATGACTGTCTACTGGAACAATGAAATACTAAGCAATAAAAATTAATGAAAAGAGGCCAGGCGTGGTGGCTCACGCCTGTAATCCCAGCACTTGGAGGCCGAGGCAGGTAGATTGCCTAAGCTTACCAGTTCAAGACCAGCCTGAGCCAGAGTGAGACCTTCATCTCTAAAAAATAGCCAGGTATTGTGGCAGCACCTGTAGTCTCACCTATTTGGGAGGATGAGGCAAAATAATCTCTCAAGCCCAAGAGTCTGAGGTTGCTGTGAGCTATCACATCACTGCACTCCAGTGAGGGCAATACAGTAAGACTCTGTCTCAAAAAAAAAAAAAATTAAATAAAAAGGAAAAAACTATTCAATATGGATGAAATCTCAAAATGATGTTTTTTAAAGGATAACATACTAAGCTGAATCAAAGAATCCAGACACCAAGGCATACATGTTGTATGATTTTTATTGAAGTTCTAGAACACACAAAATCAATTATTCAGTAATGATAAATATCAGAAGAGTGGTTGTGCTGCCTTGGGGTGGGGCAAATCCACTAGAAAGGGATACAAGGAAACTTTCTGGAATAATAGAATGTTTTGTATTTTGGTTTGGCTACATGCAAGTATCAAAATTCATCTAATGAAACACCTAAGATTATATGTAATTAACTACATGTTAATTATAACTCAATTTAGAAAAATTAAATCCCTCATTTTTGCAAAGAAAAGAAAACTTTTATTGATGTTTTACCTACTTGATTCCAGTAAGCTCCATATTCCAATAACTATACCCACAGTTTTTTCTAAATATGCCTTCTCACAGGCTTACACATAGTTTGGGCTTATCTAACTTTTGTAGGATAACACTTTCAGTTCTTTTTTCCAAGTCCTGTGTCCAACTAAAAGGATTCAGTAGGAACTACCTTAATTCATTCATGTACTTTAACAAATTCTACAACCACATCCCTGATTTGATCTTTGCCCTGAGTACTCATCATAACCAGCCTTTGTTACTCTAAGTAGCTCTTAATTTTAACTTCTATTGGTTGAAAAAGATAAACAGTCCTAATTTCAATGCAACAGGTCTCAGAATTTTTGCATACTCTATTTTTTTCTTTATACCCCTTGCAAATAGGCCAATTCTATTCTAAACTCAGCTCTTTCCTATAGTCAAATGCAGCTGATAAAACAGGCATACTTGTAATATTCTGTTTACAATCTGGTTACCTGGAATAATAATTTTTTAAATATATTAATAGTATTAAAATTGCAGCAGTATGTTTCTGCAGTGCCAACTACTTGGGAGGCTGAGATGGGAGGATCACTTGAGCCCAGGAGATCAAGGCTACAGTGAAATATGATCAGGCCACTGTGCTCTAGCCTGGATGTCAGAGGAAGACCTGTCCATAAAAAAAAAAAAAACAATTAGCCAGGCTGAGTGGCTCATGCACTTTGGGAAGCCAAAACAAGAGGATTGCTTGAGGCCAGACAAAAAGTTCAAGACCAGCATGGGCGATACAGCAAGATCCCATTGCTTAAAAAAAAAATTACAACTACTCACAGTAAACAGTATTACCAAATGTTTTGTTGATACATAATATGTGGGCTGGGCACAGTGGCCCACACCTGTAATCCCAGCACTTTGAAAGGCCTAAGTGGGTGAATTGCTTGAGCTCAGGGGTTTAAGACGAACCAGAACAAGAGTGAGACCCCTGTCTCTAAAATACAGCTGGGCGTTGTGGCAGGTGCCTGTAGTCCCAGCTACTCAGGACACTGAGATAACAGGATTTCTTGAGCCCGAGTTTGAGGCTGCTGTGAGCTATGATGCCAGGGCACTCCACCGACGGTAAGAAAGTGAGACTCTACCTCCAAAAAAAACCATATGTATCCTCACTTTTCCAGTTTTCCAAAAATAGTTTTCTTGTTTCTAGCCCCTAAACTAATTTGTAGATGACCCACTGCCTTCATCTTATTTAAGCAAATTTACATATAGACCCTTAGTTTTCTATGGGCAGGAAGCAATATGAGAAAGCTGTTTGGCCCTAAGAATGACATTCTCCAAAGCTCTATTCAGATAATGATCATGAAGGATAATTGAAAAGGAAAGATCTCCAGAGGGTGGAGGCAAGGACTATGGAGAACAATGGACTAGGAAACAATTCCCAAGAAATACAATTGACGCATCATCATGAAAGATTTCCTACCTCAGAGTAAGGAGACATCATATTAGTATGATTTCAGAATTACTCTTCCTTTCTAAATGGAAGCATTTATTCTGCTTTTCTTCCTGTCCATATACAGAGAGATGGGGCACGTGCAGGCCCACGGCTGCTTTCCAAGGTACTCAGTTGGCATCTGGGAACTTGAACTTCAGGAGAGTTCCCACCATTCTCTAACTGGTCAGAGTAGTTTGCTGTGCCTACTTTGTTTATACAAACAATGTAGTTTATGCTTTCTTCTGGGAGTTAAGAATTTTGGTACATGGTAGGCAGAGGGTACCTACATAATCAGCCACCAATAAACACTGAGCATTGAGTCACTGATGAGCTTCCCATAGAAGACAAAACTTTACAGATGTCACAATTTGATGCTGATGGAATCAAGCCCATCCTGTGTAACTCCATTAGGGGTGAAATTGCAGAAGCCTGCATTTAGCTTCTTATGGACTTCAGCCCATGGGCTTTTTTCCTTTGCTAATTTTGTTTGCATTGTTCACTATAATAAATTATATTAAGTACAACTATATTCTATGACCTGCAAATACTTCTAGCTAATCACCAAACATGGAGGTGGTTTTGGGAATCCCTGACATAAAACAGATAACTTGTCTTTTCAGTTCCTAAGTTTCTGTATTAGAATGAAACATACCTGACCCTAATATAGATAAGAAGACCTTGCATTCAAGACTGATGTTGTTGGCTCAGTGCCTGTAGCTCAAGCGGCTAAGGCATCAGCCACATACACCTGAGCTGGCAGGTTTGAATCCAGCCGGGCCTGCCAAACAACAATAACGGTGGCAACCAAAAAATAGCTGGGCGTTGTAGCAGGCACCTGTAATCCCAGCTACTTGGGAGGCAGAGGCAGGAGAATCGCTTGAGCCCAGGAGTTAGAGGTTGCTGTGAGCTGTGATGCCAAAGCACTCTACCCAGGGCAACAGCTTGAGGATCTGTCTCAAAAAAAAAAACTGATGTTGTGACTAGGTAAGATTGTCTTCCTTAGAATGTAGGAGGAAGTAAGTATATTTTGTCTAAGAAAAGGAAATAAGTATTTACAACCAAAGAACAAGGTGTGGCAAACTGTATTCTTTTCCTAAATATTTTCTCCTTCCCTAAAAAAAGAGTATACATCCCTGCCCCTTACCAGATGACCTGAAACACTTCCATAAAGCTGGAGTGTATTTCTCTACCACCTTGCTTGGAATGATAATATGACTTGCTAGGGCCAAGAGAATACAAGTCTAAGTGAGAATGTGCCAGGTCAGCAGAAATTATAAGCAGCATTACATGATTCTGTTTTCCTGCTCTTTTCCTGTCACAAGCAAAATATGTCCCAAATAGGGCCTGTTCCTTCATAACACATGAAACTATAGCCAACCAGCAACCATACGCAATATTAATCACAAATGTTTGTCATATGCCAATGAGATTCTGAGGTTGTCCTATAGCAAAACCTAATAAAAGTCAACCATATACTTAATCTCAAAATCTTTATACAATTAAAATACTAATATAACTTTTCTTATAGTAGCACAAAAACTCCAAATCCAACTTACATTTTGGAGCTCTTTCAGGAACTGGAGCATCCTTGATTTTCTCTTCTTTGGCAGATTCCTTATATTCTGAAGACTTTGGCTTTTTTCTTTGGCGCAGTTCTACAGTTGGTCCTTAAAACATTTGAGATAATGTTGCAATGTGTGTATCAAAATTGTTCTAATCTATATACCAAGCTGATTAACTTTTTTATTGGACTAAAGAAGTCCCACTAAGACCTATCAGAACCAAAGATAAACTTTTTCATAATTATTTCAGCACCACCTGCAAACTTGTCTTTTGTACATAAAAACAACTGAGAGTCCACTCTCTTTTTGAGAACCCTATCAATAAACTAGCTCTTTTCCCAAGATGATGCTACTTGCAAAATATGCCCAAATAAGTAAACTCTTTTCCACAATGACTGGTGGTCAAGATGGTACTTAGGTTATTATTCTAATTACCTAGAGAATCAACTGGATCATTCACAGACAATTCTTTTTTTTTTTTTTTTTGAGACAGAATCTCACTTGGTAGCCCTGAGTGGCATCTTAGCTCACAGCAACCTCAAACTCTTGGGCTCAAGCAACCCTTTTACTTCAGCCCCTCAAGTAGCTGGGACTACAGGCACCTACCACAATGCCCAGCTATTTTTAGAGACAGGGATCTCACTCCAGAGCTCAAGCAATCCACCCACCTTGACTTCCCAGAGTGCTGGGATTATGGGCGAGAGCCACCACACCCAGCATTGGATTAACAATTTTTTTTTTTTTGAGATAGTCTTAAGCTGTGCCATAGACAGATGTATACATGTATAGCTCACAGCAACCTCTAACTCTTGGGCTTAAGCGATTCTCTTGCCTCAAGCCTTCCTAGTAGCTGGGACTACAGGCGCCCACCACAACACCCAGCTAAGGATTAACAATTTAAAAAATCAAAATACAGGCTCAGCGCCTATAGCTCAACCGGCTAAGGCGCCAGCCACGTACACCTAAGGTGGCGGGTTCGAATCCCCAG